GGAGGAGGAGGAAGAGGAGGAAGAGGAGAGCGGAGCCAGGAGGATGAGGAAGAGGACATTCGATTCCACTGGCATCCGCTGTCCGACTGCACGAAGCCCCCACAAGGGGAGAAGGTCGAAGAGATGGAGAAGGTGGAGCATTAGAAGAAGGAGGTGGAGGGAAGGGGTGGAGGAAGGTGGAGGAGGAGTAGAGGAGGTACTGGAGGAGGAGTAGGAGGAGGAGGAGGAGGAGGAGGAGGAGGAGCAGGAGCAGGAGCAGGAGGAGGAGCAGGGAGGATACAGGTCGAGCTACGTGCAAGGAGGAAGGGTGCAGGTTGAGAGATGAGGGGTGGGGCAGAACTAAGCGACGGAGCCGAGGACACCGCTCGCGCTGAAGATCATGAAGAAGAGCGAGGTGATCCGGCTCAGACAGGCCCGGCGCCGCGCAGGTCTTCGCACCACCGGAGAGTGCGCGAAGGGGGATGAGCCGTTCGGCCCCCATCAAGACGCGCGCACCACCAGGCATCACGCGGCACAAAACACACAGCACAGCATCCAAAAAGGCACACGATTCGCTTCGAACGACACGCGACCCCCGATTCACGACACACGATACGCTGTACACGTTACATGGCACGCGGCACGCGATTCTCCATACGACGCACAACACACAGCGTACAACACACGAAGCATGACATACCTTCCAGCACGCATGGTGTTGGCCCCAAGCTGTGCCTGTGAACCTTACCTGAGGTCCGAGGCGCGCATAGGAGGCCGTCATATGAAACACCTCGTGCCCCAAGGCTCGGGAGACCCGTAACAGGTGACACGGTGTTCCGCGTCGTGTCGGGGTGTCTTTCTTCGTCTTCGTCGTCGTCTTCCTCCCTGCCTCTGCTCCCATCCTCTCTTGAGCCTGTTGGAGGGCATCTCGAGGCCTCTAGAGGGCGTCTTCGGGGCGCGTTGTTCACGAGATCGCGCTCCGCCGCGACACATTGGCCTAGGTGGAGGCTGGCTGAATCGCTGGTCCAACCATCATGGGTAGGATCGATCACTCGCTCTTGAGCCGATGGAGGCCCTTACTACGCGTCCGTGTCGGCGCTGCGAGCCTCGCGAACATGCTGCACATCGGCTTGGAGCGGCACGGCGCTTCGCCAGCCCGGTTTGGCGCGGCTGGAGGAGGCCCCAAGGTTGATAGGACCCCCACCCTGCAGACTCGATCAGCGAATCACCCTTGTGTCGATTCTCGGAAGGGCGTGACTGCGCTGATTCTCTGCCACGCTATCCTGCCTTCACTGTGTCGTGCCCCTCGTCTGCCCCGCGCCCCCCCCCGCCCAGTGCTGTCTACGCCTGGGGCTCGTGCTCGCGTGTCTGCATGCCGCCAACTGCGAGCCCGAGCACGCCCATGCATACACTGTCACGCTGTGCGGCCACCTGTGTGCACGATGCGTCCCCATCCACAGCCCTCCTCAGCATCTGTCCACCTGCTGCGCACACATCAGGCTGTGCTCACCCTGTAGATCATATCTGCTCACGTTGCGCCTCAAGGTGCTAGCGATCCTCCCCCTCCCCATCCTTTCATCCTCCGCCTCATCCGGCCTTTCCTTTTCAGATGTTTCATGATGCTCCTTCCCCCCTTCGCCTTCCGTCGTCATCCCACATGTTGTTTTAGTATTTGTGATATCATGATCATCACCATCATCATCAGCATCATCATCATCATCACCATCATCATCATCATTATCATCATCACCATCACCATCATCATCATCCTCATACTCATCGTCACCATCGCCATCATCATCATCACCAGCAGCATCATGATCATCATCATCATCATCATCATCATCATCATCATCATCATCATCATCATCATCATCATCATCATCATACTCAAAACTCATCATCGTCTTCGTCGTCGTCATGAGTAGCAGCAGCAACATCATCATCATTATCATATGCACGCAGCAGCAACATCATCATCATCTTCAGCAGCAGCAATACCATCATCGTCCTTATCATCACCAGCAGCAGTATCATCTTCATCATTCTCGTCATAGTCATCAGCAGTATCATCATCCTCAACTTCACCATCGTAAGCAGCATAGCATCATCGTCATCATCATCGTCATCATCACCAGCAGCATCATCATCAGCATCATCATCATCAGCCAGCTTCCCCCCATCTTTCCCATCCTCCACCGACTCCCAGCCTCTGCCCCATCCCTCCCCCCCGTGCCTCTCACCCTTGCCCTCCCTCTGCTCGCTCCTCTCTCCCCCCTCCCCCTGGCCCACCCCCAGCCTTCCTCCCGCCGCTGCCCCCCTTCCCTGCGCGCGCCGCGCAGGTAGAGCACGTGAAGGCCCCCACCCTTGCGCCACCCGCGGAGGAGGAGGAGGAAAGGAGGAGGAGGAGGAGGAGGAGGAGGAGGAGGAGGAGGAGGAGGAGGAGGTGGAGGGGGAGAAGGAGGGGAGGAGGAGGAGGAGGAGGAGGAGGAGGGAGGAGGAGGAGCAGGAGGAGGAGGAGGAGGAGGAGGAGGAGGAGGAGGAACTGCCTGCCGTGGAGCCGCCGCTGTCGCTCCGCGGACCTCCGTGGCGCTGCCGCCCGCGCGCGCCATCCCGCCGCCCTACGCTGCCCGTGCGGCCCCGTGGTGCCGCCGCCGCCCGCCGCGCTGTCGGGGAGCTGCTGCAGCGCGCTGTCGTTGCTGGTGCTGCTGCTCTGAGGAGGAGGAGGAGGAGGAGGAGGAGGAGGAGGAGGAGGAGGAGGAGGAGGAGGAGCAAAGGGAGGAGGAGGAGGAGGAGGAGGAGGAGGAAAACCGAGGCAAACCTCCCGTCGTGACTTTTCCACCACGCGAGGGGGTCTGGGTGCGCGGCACCTCTCCGGCGAGAGCGCACGGCCCTAGGCGTGCGCGGGCCTCTCCCTGGCGAGCTCCTGCCGCGCAGGCGAGCCTTCCTTGCCGGGCAGGCGCCCTGACCGTGCGGCTGCCAGAGCGAGCCTCCCAGGACGCCCTGGTGCTCCTCCTCCTCCAGTGCTTCTGGCTTCCTGCAAATGAGTACAGTGGGGACCCATGCCAAGAAACACCCTGCTGGCCTCCAGGGTGCCCTGGGTCCCTGGGTTTCTTGGGTTTCGATGGTTTTGCCATGGAAAGCGTGACGCTCCCACGCCAAAAATCAATGGACGTCCTGGGGTCTCAGAGTTGGGCTTCTTGTGGAAGGTTTCTTCTGGACTGGCCTCCACTGTAGATCTTTCCTCTCGCAACCCCGGACGTGGCGGCAGGGCGGGCCGGGCGTCTCGCCTGGGACTTCCTGCCGATCTGTGGTCTGTGGTCCTGAAGCTTACAAGCTGCAGCAGCTTCATGGATGGAGGGCGGGTCGTTTTCCAAACGTGACTCCCGCCGCGCACATACGTTGTCAAGGCTTGCAACAGCGTCACGGACGGGGGGCGGCCCGTCTCCACAGTGTGGCTCTCGCATATCGCCGCGCAGATTCGTTGCACGAAATTGCAACACCTTCAAGAATGTAGGGCGATTCATGTTCAAAGTGTCTCTCTCGCTTCAGCGCCGCGCGCATTCCTTTTCAAAGCTTGCAACTGTACCAAGGATTCGCATAGCTGAAGTCCCGGAACTTACGTTCTGTTTCGATTTCGGATTGTCAGGGCGCGACAGTCACATTGAGTCGCAGCTTTGAGGTCCCAGGAATGGTGGTTCTGGCACGGCTTACGTAGGAATTGTTATGATGCAGCAGTTATGTTATGTGGGAAAGGTTTTTCCAATAGAACATCTTCCGCAATGAATCATTTTTCAGAGGGACCTATGAAGAGTGGCTTGGAGGGGGAGCTTATTGCAACATCGTTGATGCGTCTCTGGTTCGCACTGGTCCTCCTCCTCCTCCTGCTCCTCCTGCTCCGCGAGCGGCTGCTATCTGCGGTCCTGAACCCTTACTCAAACATGATACAAAACGAAACTCCAGCGTCTTCTTCTTCTTCTCCAGCTTATTATTATTATTTTTCTCCTTCTTCGCCTTCGCCTTCTTCTTCTTCTTCTTCTTCTTCTTCTTCTCCCTCGCGGCACCTCTGCCACCTGCCCGCACGATTCTCGCATGGCCGTGCTTCGCCGCCCACGCTTCTCTCAGCGACGAGACCTCACCGCCCACCCTTCTCCCAAAGGCTCCCCTTGGCCTCCCTTCGCGACTTCCTGCGGGACTTCGGATGCGGTAGCAACCTGTCTCGACTACACGTAAGAGTGACCCTTCGCCGGAGTGACCTTTGGTGCGGGACCACCAGGGTCCCCCGATCGCCGGACGCGATGCGATTGTAGCGTCTTGCGCGCTTGCGTTTGGTCTCCCCGCAGCTCCCACAAGGCCGCGCAACAAAGGTCCCTCGGGTCACTCCTGCGTGTAGCCGACGTTCTTGATGCACGAGAACTTTGATGCATGAGAGACGGAGAGAGAACAGCGCACAATGCATTGCCGATGCGAGACCCGCGATGTGGAATGGTGCTCGTCTCCTGCTCCCCATGCCTTCTCCTGCTGCTGCCGCTCCCTGTCCTACCTCCGCCTCGTTGACCTCCTACTGCTTGTGGTGCTACAAGGAGCGTCGTGGCACTCGCAGGCCATTGTGGTGCTCAAGCTCGCGTCGCGGCGATCGCAGGTATACGGCGGCGCTCGTAGGCTGCTGTGGTAGTGACACGGTCAGCCGTCCGCAACACTCACTGTTGTGCATAGTGTGGCGCTCACAGGCAATCTCGGTACTGGTAGGGTCTGGTGTCCTTCGCCGTCTGGTGGTCTCAAGCGGATTAATATTGCTGTGAGACACTCCTTTTGGTGGTCACAACCACAGCTTGGTGTCCTTGCTCTCGTCGTGGATCTCGCGCGCTCCTGCGGTGCTCACAGGCGTACTATGGCGCTCGCAGGCAGGCTGCGGTGCCTGCGGCGTGACCCGAACGAAAGTCAATTCCCCCAAATCCCCTGTCCCGCACTACTCAGCAGATCGTCGTGCCCTTGAGGCGCGCACGAGACGGCGGGACCGCAGCGTTCGGCCCAAGAGCTGCCCGGGGCGGCTGCCCGGGGCGCCTGCCTTCAGGCGGCCTCGCTTGCCCACAGCGCGCCCCGGCCGGCGCAGAGCGATGCGACCGCGGCGGCCAGTGCCCCCGACGCTGCAGCGCTGGGCGGGCCGCGGCGCAGCGCCGCAGGGGGCGCGCGCCGCGGCCGCGTCGGCCGCCGGCGTCCACCGTGCCGTTCGACAGCGCGGCGCCCCTCTGCCCTGGCGCTCGCCTGGGGCGCTGCCCGGCTCCTGTGCTGGCTCGGCGCGGTGGCTGTCCATGCCCTCGCGTGCCGACACGAGGCCCTTCGTGCTGCAGCCGTGTGCAGGGGCGGCCGAGGGCGCGGGCGAGGGAGGCGTCTCGTGCTGGACGTCCCAGTCGGCCGCGGGCCTGTTCGCGGGCCCCGGGGCCGCGGCGCTGCGCGACAAGGCGAAGAGGGCCCACACGCTCTCGCACATGCTGCCTGCGGGCGCAGTTCTGCGGGCGGCTCTGGCTGGAGCCCACGCTGGGGGTTCCGCCGCATTGGTGACGCTGGCCGAGCAGACGGCGACGGCCGCCGCCGCGGGCGGCGCTGGCGTGTGGGTGGTCCGCGGCGGCGTCGTCATCGCCGCGACGGAGGCATCTCCAGGTCGGGGGCAACGATCGGGGCGGACAAGCATGGGGGATGCATCGACCTCGAATGGTTGATACATCGACGATGCATCGATGGTATCAGGGCGGCGCGTCGACGATGCATAGGCGATGCATGGTGCGGTCTGCATCGGCAATGCATCGACGATGCATGGGCGATGTACCCAGACATCCGGCCGCTCCAATTTGTTCGATGCGTGGGCCTCGGAGGTCTGGACCACTTCCCCAGGGCCGTTTTTTCCTCCTGAGTCGTTGTTTGACGGTCCCGCGGCCCAGGGAGGGCCCCTGAAGGCCGAAAACGGCCAAAGATTGGCCGCTCCAATGTTTCCGTAGCATCGGATCTCTGGGCATCGGCCATTCGAGGTCGATGTATCCCCCTTTACGGTCAAGCATCTGATCAAGAAACTTCCCCCCGAAACGCTGGGCCAGCGTTCCTTAACCAACTTGCCAGAAAGGTGGCCAAGATTATTGAGCACGGTCGCCCCTCCAGCGTCAACAACAGGAGGTGACACATTTCTGTTTTGAGAAACCTCCAGGTAGCTGGCCCAGATTTCTTCACTTATAGTTTTCTTGGTAATCGTTTCGACTGCATGCCTATTCTCAAGGAAGGAAAAACACCCAGACCAGACGATTGGCGTTTACTAAACGGCTCTGGGCGGTGACTAAACAGCCCTACCCTGCTCGATGCCATCTTTGGGCGCGTTAACTACAGGCCTCGCGTGTCGGGGTGGTTATTATCGGTGTGGATTTTTTCTGCCCTCTATATTCCCCCCCCGATCGTGGCCCCTCGCCAGGCGGGGGGCCCGCCTCGCTGGTCGTGGCGCTGCGGCCCGACGACACAGTGGTGCTGGCGCAGGACGCCTCCGCGTGGCCCGAGCTGGAGATCGTCGCAGCCGCGGCCCGCGGCGGGCCCGCGGCCGGCTGCGCGAGACCGTCGCTGTGGCTGCTCGCCGTGGGACAACGACGACGACGACGACGACGACGACGACGACGACGACGACGACGACGACGACGACGACGACGACGACGACGACGACGGCGAGTCCCGAGGGAGACGGGCCCTGAGGTCTTTCGCCGCTTTCGGGCCTCTGGACCCTCCACGGGCGCCAGGACCGTCAGAGAACGGCTCGGGATGAGGAGCCCGTCCTGAGGGAGGGCCCCGGGGTCCAGGACCCGCTTCCCTCGGGACCCGTTGCCCCCATGCCGAGGCTGCGCTGCTCGTGCCCGGGCTCCAGCGAGGTGTGGGCGCCCCTCGGGGAGGCTCAGCATCGTTCAACCGATCCCCATCCCCACCCGGCCATGGTGTCTCGGCCCCACCATCGCACCGCTCCAGCTGGGGCCTAGGGCCCTCGAAGCCCAAAGTGGACCACCCATCTACTCATACAGGGGTGCGCGGTCAACCATGATAGTAAGGACGGGGCAGCTTTCCAAGGCTACCCTTGCATCCTTGCCCCTTCGGTATTCGGCATCCTTCGGCATTCTGCTGCGCTGCGCACGAAAAACGTCAACATGGCGTTCCAAGGCCCTTGCATCCTTACCGCGCATCCTTACTATCCTGGTCGAGTGTAACTAGTCCAGTGGGGCCCAGGCCACGCCAGTGGGGACACGGATCGGCTAAACGGTGATCCGAGGCACCGCCGCACCCCTCGTGGGTGAAGACGATCTTCAACGAGTACGGCGAGCACGGCGGCAAGCCGGAGTGACGCGGGCCGCGGTGTCCCCGGCGGCGGCCCGCGAGCGAGATCGCCGGCCTGGGGCTCCCAGGGCAAAATCAGAAGGGAAAAAACACAGACACAATTAATCGTCGACTCCCAGGAAAAGATGGGAAATATAGGAAGTGGGGGGGAGGCATTGACCCAGAAAATGTGGGAAGAGATGGGGAATCCTGTTATTTGTGTATATTTGTTTGTGTGTCCCAAGGCCCCTTCACAAAAGCCGGGCACCTGGAGGGCAGCCTCGCGTTCGTGCCCCTCGGCCCGCCGCCTTCGGCGGCGGGCTTTCACAGAGAGCAGCGCTGGCCTCCCGCTTCCCGCTGCTGCGTGGAGGGCTTCGCGCTCGGCCGCTGTCCAGGACTGGGACCAAACGTAGTGATAGTGCTTCACTTGCTGTTGCCCAGGCTTCCTTCACGGGGGCAGAGCAGATGGGGTCGGATGGTCGCGTTACACCGCCGATGTTCCCGCGATTCGGCAGGATCCAAGGTTCCGATGTTCATTATCCCGGAGTCGCCGCTGCGTCGCCGCGACTTCCTGTACCCAGACATCGTCGACCGGCCACTGTGAAAACTCATGCCAAGAAACACACTGGTTGCCTCCAAGGTGCCCTGGGCTTCTTGGGTTTCGACGATTTTGGTGTGGAGAGCGCGACGTCCCCACACCAAAAATCAATGAACGCCCTGGGGTCGCAGCGTTGGGTTTCTTGTGGAAGGTTTCTTGTGGTCGGGCTCCCACTTGAAGGGTTTCTCCGAAGGGCTTAGGCGACCCGTCCTCCTCCTCGTCCTCCTCCTCCTCGACTCCAAGCTCCAGCAGGCTCACCTCTGACGGTGAGTGGAGACGGATCGGGAGTATAATACAGCAGCGACGAAAGATACAGGCGCTGCGGATGGAGCTGGGTGGTACTGGACGCTAGCGAAGGCCAGATCAACTACCCGATCCTTGCAGCGAAGCGCGGGCCCCTTCAGGGTCAAGGCTGACGAACAGCCGAGCGGAGCTCTGGGCGTTCACCAACTGCCTGGAGTCCACGAGCGGGGACCTCGTCTTCTGGACAGACAGCGGATCACATTCATCGGATGGCACGCAAGAAAATATGAAAGCAAAAATCGACTGGGAACCAGCAGCGACCTATGGCGCTGGGTTCGGATCGCAATCGAATGCCGAGGAGGAGAAGGAGGAGGAGGACGGGATTGTATCCAGATCTTCCACCTGAACAGCCTCCTGACAGAGGAAAAGGCAGCGGCGAAGAACATCCCCAGGATAGCTTGGGAAGGAAACCGTGCTGCTGACCGACTGGCAGACGCGGGGTAAAAGCAGCACGCCATCCCAGAAGAACCAGATGAGCTGCTACGAATGGGCAAGTGCGACGGCAAGCCTTGCGAGGTCGAGGATAGCGGCATGCACGCAAGATATCATCGAGAGGAGGCCGACAGAGCACCGCGAAGTGAAGAAAGCACGGAGGCAGGCCACCCAACAGAGGCGCGCGCAGAGAATATTGACGGCGGACTACCTGGGGGGCGACACCAAAAGGAGGCCAGCTACAATTCACGACCTGGCGAGGCTCAGACGGGGGCGTGGATGGATGTGCAGGTACTACAACCACTCAGTAACGGCGACGACGGCGTTCAGCAGCTTGAAGGAGTAGTTCGAGCAGAAGTGCGGAGGACCACCACTGTCGACAGGCAGATGCACCGAGTTCCACGGCAACGTCGCCCACCCGACACACCCATTGAGATGGCTGAGAAGGCAGAAGAGGTGGTGTTGCACACTATGCGCAAGCTCGGCGGCGGAAGTGGTCTCGGACAAAATGCAAGCCCCGTGCAGAAAGGAGCCCCTATGCGACTCGAGGCGATACCTGCTCAGATGATGGACAAGATTTGCAGACGCAGAGGTGCGGAGGACATGGGCGACACCGAGTACCCCAGAAAGACAGGACGCAGAGATGAGCGAAGAGCTACACCAACAGGCCAAGAGGGAGACCAAGACGTAGAGGAGCGCAGCGGCGACGTCGCGCAGCACGTCGGCGACCTGGGCCGCCCCAGCCGCCAGGACCTCCACCCACCTCTGGCCCAAGGCTTGGCCAGGGACCCCTCAGCGAGGGACGCCGGGAGGGACCCGTCCAGCGGCGGTAGCAGCGCGAGGGGGAGAGAAGCAGCTCCAGACCAGGACCGCGACGTGCAGCACCAAAGGGACGACGCGGAGCTCAGCAATGGATACAGGGAGGCATCCGTCCAGCGGCGGGGGCTCGGCGAGGAGAAGAGAGGCAGCTGCGGACCAAGACCGAGGCGTGCAGCACCAGCGGGACGACGCGGCGCACGGCAGCGACCAGGGCAGCCCAGGCCGCCGGGACCCCTCCCCACTTCTGGCCCTAGGTGTGGCCAGGGGCCCCTCGGCGAGGGGCAACGGGGGGCGTCCGTCCAGCGGCGAGGGCCTGGCGAGGGGGAGAGCAGCACTTGCGGACCCAGACCGAGGCGCGCAGCACCTGAGAGACGACCTGTACTACGAGGTGCACCAGGGCGACGACGACGCGGAGCTCAGCGAGGGATGCTGGGAACGGCGCGAGGGGGAGAGAAGCAGCTCCAGACCAGGACCGCGACGTGCAGTACCAATGGGACGACGCGGAGCTCAGCGAGGGATGCTGGGAGGGATCCGTCCAGCGGCGGGGGCTTGGCGAGGAGGAGAGAGGCAGCTGTGGACCAAGACCGAGGCGTGCAGCACCAGCGGGGCGACGCGGCGCACGACAGCGACCTGGGCCGCGCTCGCCGCCGGGGCCCCCTCCCACTTTGGCCCCAGGTGTGGCCGGGGGCCCCTCGGCGAGGGGCAACGGGAGGCATCCGTCCAGCGGCGAGGGCCTGGCGAGGAGGAAAACAGCAGTTGCGGACCAGGACCGAGGCGCGCAGCACCTGATAGACGACCTGCACGACGAGATGCACCAGGGCGACGACGCGGAGCTCAGCGAGGGATACTGGGAGGGGCCCGTCCAGCGGCGGCAGCAGCGCGAGGGGGAGAGAAGCAGCTCCAGACCAGGACCGCGACGTTCAGCACCAAAGGGGCGACGCGGAGCTCAGCGAGGGATACTGGGAGGGATCCGCCCAGCGGCGGGGGCTCTGCGAGGAGGAGAGAGGCAGCCGCGGACCCAGACCGAGGCGTGCAGCACCAGCGGGACGACGCGGCGCGTGGCAGCGACCTGGGCCGCACTCGCCGCCGGGACCCCTTCCCACTTCTGGCCCTAGGTGTGGCCAGGGGCCCCTCGGCGAGGGGCAACGGGGGGCGTCCGTCCAGCGGCGAGGGCCCGGCGATGGGGGGGGGCAGCAGTTGCGGACCGGGACCGAGGCGCGCAGCACCTGAGAGACGACCTGTACGACGAGGTGCACCAGGGCGACGACGACGCGGAGCTCAGCGAGGGATGCTGGGAGGGACCCGTCCAGCGACAATAACGGCGCGAGGGGGAGAGAAGCAGCTCCAGACCTGGACCGCGACGCACAGCACCAAAGGGACGACGCGGAGCTCAGCGAGGAACACTGGGAGGCATCCGCCCAGCGGCGGGGGCTTGGCTAGGGGGAGAGAGGCAGCCGCGGACCGAGCCCGAGGCGCGCAGCACCAGTGGAACGACGCGGCGCACGGCAGCGACCTGGGCAGCCCAAGCCGCCGGGCCCCTCCCACTTCTGGCCTCAGGTGTGGCCAGGGGCCCCTCAGCGAGGGGCAGCGGGAGGCATCCGTCCAGCGGCGAGGGCCCGGCGAGGGGGAGAGCAGCAGTTGCGGACCAGGACCGAGGCGCGCAGCACCTGAGAGACGACCTGTACGACGAGATGCACCAGGGCGACGACGACGCGGAGCTCAGCGAGGGGCGCTGGGAGAGGCCCGTCCAGCGGCGGTCGCAGCGCGAGGGGGAGAGAAGCAGCTCCAGACCAGGACCGCGACGTTCAGCACCAAAGGGACGACGCGGAGCTCAGCGAGGGATGCTGGGAGGGATCCGCCCAGCGGCGGGGGCTTGGCGAGGAGGACAGAGGCAGCTGCGGACCAAGACCGAGGCGTGCAGCACCAGCGGGACTACGCGGCGCACGGCAGCGACCTGGGCCGCGCTCGCCGCCGGGACCCCCTCCCACTCCTGGCGCCAGGTGCGGCTAGGGGCACCTCAGCGAGGGACGATGGGAGGGGCCCGTCCCGGCGTGGAGGAGAGCAGGAGTTGCGGAACAGGACCGAGGCGCGCAGCGCCCAAGGGGCGACCTGTATGACGAGATGCACCGCGGCGAAGACGACGCGGAGCACGTTGGCGACCTGGGCCGCCCAAGCCGCAAGGACCCCCTTTCCCATCTCTGGCAAAGGTGCGACCAGGGGCCCCATCGGCGAGGGATGCGGGGGGGGGGGGTCCGCCCTGCGGCGAGGGCCTGGCGAGGGGGGGGGGGGGCAGCTGCAGGCCAGGACGGGGAAATGGGAGGCATCCGTCCAGCGGCGAGGGCGAGAGAGAGAGAGAGAGAGAGAGAGAGAGAGAGAGAGCAGCAGCAGTTGCGGACCAGGACCGAGGCGCGCAGCACCTGAGAGACGACCTGCACGACGAGGTGCACATGGGGAACGACGACGCGGAGCTCAGCGAGGGGCGCTGGGAGGGACCCGTCCAGCGGCGGCAGCAGCGCGAAGGGGAGAGAAGCAGCTCCAGACCAGGACCGCGACGTTCAGCACCAAAGGGGCGACGCGGAGCTCAGCGAGGGATACTGGGAGGGATCCGCCCAGCGGCGGGGGCTCTGCGAGGAGGAGAGAGGCAGCCGCGGACCAAGACCGAGGCGTACAGCACCAGCGGGACGACGCGGCGCACGGCAGCGACCTGGGCCGCGCTCGCCGCCGGGACCCCCTCCCACCTCTGGCCAAAGCAGTGGCTATGGGCCCCTCAGCGAGGGATAGCCTGAGGGATCCGCCCAGCGGCGAGAGGCTCGCGTGGAGGAGCGAGGCCGCTGCAGCAGGGCCGAGGGCGGACCCGCTGAGCGAGATGGAGGCTGAGGAGAGGGAGACCAGACTCCTGGCAGCGGCGAGAAGCGCAGTGGCCCAGGACGTTGAGGAGCCGCCGAAGGAAACAGCCGAGGAGGACGGCATGCAGCTGGAGTTCGCAAGGAGGCAGCTCGAGGCAGAACGGGCGAGGGCCAGAGACGGCGCCAGGCGACCCGACTTGCGCGCGGAGCACGGCCTGAGGCCCGCGCCGCCGCCGCTGCAGGCGATCGGGCAGCTCCGCAGGCTGCTCGATAAGCCCCAGCCGCAGCCTCCGTCGCCCGCGGGAGCGAGGCGGACCCAGCGGCGGCAGGAGATGCGGCCTGGCGCAACCTCCGCGCCACGTCGCGGGCAGAGCTTCCCAAGCGGAGGCGCCGACGCCGACGCCGACACCGCCGCCGCCGAGCCGCTTTGCGCGCGGCGAGCGGCGCGGTGGCCAGACTCGACGACGGCGACGAGGGAAGAGCCTCGGAAGAACTCCTACTCCTCCTCCCCCTTCTCCACCTCCTCCTCCTCCTCCTCCTCCTCCTCGTCCTCCTCCTCCTCCTCCTCTCCCTCCTCCTCCTCCTCCTCCTCCTCCTCCTCCTCCTCCTCCTCATCCTCCTCCTCCTCCTCCTCCTGCCACGAGTGCTCGATATCGTGAGTTTGTGGCCAGAGGCGTGCTAGGTCAGCCAACCAAGAATTTGTTGGTGGCCTTGCATGCGGAGGAGAAGGACGGGGGGGAGTTGTCGTCGTCGTCCTCATGGGCGGGGGAAGGAATCCAAGTCTTGAAGTGCTGCTAGTCCCAGCGGGGTCGACGCGTGGACTTCCGCGCCGAGTCGTTCCCCGCGGACTAGCGGCGATGTGGCCGCCGCAGGGCCACGAGTGAAAGTCGAGAGAGTTGGCAGCTCTGCCGCATAGGACCATGTTTTTTTTGTCACCGTGGAAGTTGCGCCTTCCGCTCCATATTCATTCGGAGGCGGGCCTCGCCTTGCTTCCACTCCGTATTGTCGACAAGAGAATTTCGTCAGGCACGGCCCAGCCAGCAAACATTCGAAGGCGGGCCTCGCTTTGCCTCCATTCCATATGTAAGCGGCGTGGCTGTCTGTCGCGATGCAGTCAAAGATCGATGAACTGGTCCCTAATGCTTTCGAATCGAATCGAATCCTCCTCATCCTTTTCGGGTCGCCTACGGCCCCAGGGGAAACCGTGCGTCCCCACTGCACACGAAGGAGTGCCCTTCTGCCAGAGCGACCTGTGCTGCGCGGCTGTCGGGGGAAGCGCGGAGGGGCCAAACCCGATTTCACGCAGGCCGCCGCTGTCGCACCGCACGCGACGATGGGCAGACCGCGCACCAAAGGTCTCATGGCGACTGCATCGCAAAGCGGATTTCGCTCGGAAGTCGATCGAATGGGCCTGGATTGTCCTGGAGAAATTCATTCCAGATGTCGAGGTGATCTTCGTGCGGATTTTTCCGGGGCCAGGAATGAAAACGAAAACAAATCCACGCGAATTCTATTTCGGGATCTTGCATTGACAGAAATCCATTGAACAAATCAGCTGCAGCACGTCTGCAATGTCGGTTCCGTTAAAAGGTAATTCTTGCCTGGGGCCGCTCCTTTCGAAGATGGGACAACGCCACAAACATAAACTGTCGGCGCTCCGCGCGGATTTCTTGGATCCGCGCTGGGCCCCCCGGCGGCGTCTCCGGCACCGTTCTTGGCGCGCTCCGCGCGCAAAGGAAGGGGGCCCAGCGCCCAGCGCAGATCCAAGAAATCCGCGCGGAACGCCAAGAGTTCATGTTTATGGCGCTGCTTCTTCTTCTTCTTCTTCTTCTTCTGCCTTGTGCGCGTAGCCGAGCCGACCTGGCCCCATCTGCTCTGGTCCCACTTGGGCGGCCGCCACGCTGGCTGCCTCCCGTTGGCGGCGAGCCCCGGGGGGGGATGGGACAGGGTCGCAGGCCTAGAGGTTGACACCAACACCAGGGTCGGCAGAGTGTATTCACCGAGGGAAGACGATCCTGATCTCGGTGATGGTGGTAATATTCTGGCTTCCAAGGTGACCGAAATATTACCACCAACGCCGAAATCTAGGATCATCTTCCCCATGTGGAGGTAACCCCCTGTGCTGGTGTTGGTGCTAATTTCCAGGCCTCCAACAGGGAGCGCGCCTTCGCAGAGGGTGGCGGGGATTCTCGGAAACCCTCCGGCCTTCGGCGAAGCCGCCTTGCGTCTTCGGAGCAGGTTCGGGTCAATTCTCAGAAAGACAGGCGCGTTCCGAGCCTTCTGCGAAGCCCCGCCCCCCCCCTGCATCCTTCCCTTGGTTCGCCGCCGATCCCAGGTGGTGGGCGGTTGCAGTTTCGCGCCAGGGCGCAGGCGCCTTTTTCTCCCAACCGCACGCCTCCGTGGAGGCGGCGGGTGCCGCAGTCGGTGTTGGTTCTCTTCGGAGGACCCGGTCGGCACCTCCGCGCCTGCTTCCGAAAGAGGGTCCGCTGGGGGGTGCCCAGCCCTCTGGGCAGGGAGAGTCGAGGATCGAGGAGCTCGGCTGCGCGCAAGAGCGACCCTTCGCTAGAACGACCTCTGTCGGCCACGCGCATAAGGGGGTACGGGGAAGGCGGAAAGTGTTTCTTACAAGGAGGCTGCTTCTTACAATGGCGCGGGCCTTGTCTGCAGATGTAGGGCCAGCGCCCTCTGAGAAGCAGCCTCCTTCCAAGAAACCTTCCCGCTCTCCCCCCGTTTCACCCACGTGCGCGCCGCCATCTCCTTGGTGCGTGCTCACAGGGCCCCCCCCCGTCGCTGGCGTGCGCGCTCGGAGTTGGCCTCCCCGCCGCCCCTTCAAGCCGCGCACCAGGGGTCACTCTTGCCCAGGGTCGCCCCTGCGTGCGGCCGAGGGGTATCGATCGGCAGCGTCGAACCCGCACCCCCGACGTCGTGACTTTCCCCGACCATCCTGTGGTGTTGGGTCTTCGTCTTGAAGAGACGGCGCCCCGCGTTCTCCTCCCGCCTCCTCCCTCCTCCTCCCTCCTCCCATCCTCATCATGCTCGTCATCATCATCATCATCATCATCATCATCATCATCATCATCATCATCATCATCATCATCATCATCATCATCATCATCATCATCATCATCATCATCATCATCATCATCATCATCATCATCATCATCATCGTCGTCATTGCCACCCATGTCGGCCTCCCTCCTCTTTCGGAACACACCGCACACGCTTCGTGGCCCCATAGGAGCTCCACCGAAGGTCCCGATGACACCGCGCACATGCGTCCGCCACGTCGAGTACCGCGCTTCGTGGCCCTATAGGGAGCCCCACCGAAGATCCCAGCGGGACCGCCCGCATGCGTCCGCCACACCCAGTACAGCGTTTCCGGCCCCATATGGAGTTCCACCGAAGGTCCAAGGGGGCCGCCCGCATGCGTCCGCCACACCCAGTGCAGCACTTCGTGGGCCCACAGGGAGCTCCACCGAAGGTCCCAGTGGGACCGCCCGCACGCGTCAGCCACACCCAATACAGCGTTTCGTGGACCCCGTAGCCATTTGGGCTCAAGGTCCCGCCTCTGTCGTTAGTTGCCCTCCAGTGACTTATGACCACCGAGCATGGCGGGCTACAGCTATCTTGACAAGGGGCCTCGCCTTTTCGGACAGCTTCCATTCTTTGTCAGCCAAGCTGTCAAGCTGTCAGAAAAGGACGGAAGATGCGTGCGTGCGCATTGCGTTGGTCCCGTTACGCAGTTAGCGCTTTGGCAGCCAGCCGCACACGCATCTGTGATGCTGTTGTTCTTATGGCTCGGGTTCGCGTGCGCGTGGCTGGAGACCCGGAGCGACAACGAGGGAGACTTCTGCCAGTTTTTTTTGTACCATTTCCCGGCTGCTACTGCCTGCACTGTCCTATTGGCTTGCGAGGTGCATATCGCAAAGTATTCGAGCACCTGGTTCAGGGACAAGTCCGCAAGGCAGGGCCGGGGTGCGTGGGCGTGCCCGCCCGTGGCCGTGATTCTCTGGCTCTCTCGCGTGTGCTCTGTTGGAGGGTCCGCCGGCACCGAGCGCAGCGAGGCGGACGAGGAGGTGCTGTCCACCGCGACGTCTGAAGTGATGTCCGGATCCGAGTGCCTCTCTGATGCGCAGACGTCCAGCTTCTCATCGAGCGCACCTAGCACATCCGGCTCTGGAGGAGGAGGTGGAGGACGACGGGAGGATGGAGTCGGCCGGAAGAAGAGATGGAAGTTCAGACGGCCCATGTGGACGAAGAAGTGGCCCAGCTGGACGGGGAGGTCGAGGTTCAGCGGATCAGTAGGTAGATCAAGCTCATCCGAGGTGTTAACTCGCGCATCTGAGATGTCATCTGGCGTACCTGAGGCATCGACGCGATCGGGCTCACTGACACTAGCTGGTTTGTCTGACTCGCGAGCGCTATCCGATGCATCTGGCGAGCACAGCGGCGCGCAATTTGGCGCATCTGGCTCGATTGCTAACCTGGCGAAGCAGCCCACTGAGCAGCCGCACTGGTGCTTCCACGTGTGGTTGTTGTGGCTCCTCGTGATAGACATCGTGACATTGTACAGCCGGATTCAGGGGAACAAGTTCATGGGCATGTTTTTATACATGTATCTGAGCGGCAGCATACAGGACACGGTGGACATCGATTGGGCAGAAACGCGTAACGAAGCGCTCTTCATACCTGACTCCATCCCGCTACGACCCCTCCTTGCTGCAGTTTTCTGTGCCCAGATCGGGCACTACCTGCACGGCATGATGTACTGCATGCCGCGCCCTGGGTGGACGGCCGCTAGCCACCGACGTTGGGCATTCGATCAGCTGCGCGGCGTGTATGCTTGGATGGAGTGGGGCAGGATGTTTGAGTTCGACATTGCGGGACCTCGCGCAGAACGAAAATCGATCACAGATGTAATCCAGTGGAGGGAGTGGGTGAATCGTGAATTCCAGGGTGGACGTGTTGAGGTGTATTTCTATCTGGGGACATTGGGGACATTGTCCGAGCCCCTTGATAGTGACTTTCCGCTTACCGTGGAGTGGACAGAGGCCGACACCAGTGATACTCGCAAACGGTGGAATACAATTTTAAATCAAGACAAGTGGGCGCAGTGGAACGAGCGCAAGTTCAACGACCAACCCGTTTCCGTCAAGGCGTACCGTTTCGCCACACAGCTCACAGGCCGTCCAGGAGAACTTGTGACACAGGATTCGTGCCGCAAGTACGAGCCCTCGAAAGATGAGTTCCCGCTCTCCGTAAAGTGGACAGCTACCAGACACGCGTATACTAGCTTGCGCGGTTGGCAGGTGAAATCGTCTGAGGTTATGGATGAAATTGCAGAGTGTTGCAGCATGCAGTTATTGCTGGAAATGCAGCTCGTGATCCTCCAGGACTACAGGAGGGTCTGGAGCCTCCTCGACAAGTATACCAGCCAGCATACAGGGATGACTCCACGAGGTCCGGTTTGGAGGGCCGAAGCAGAAGTCGTACAGGCGGTGCACACGCTCATGAACGACGCAGTCCCCATCGCCCGACGAGCCGTTTCGCGTGTCTTCGTTCACGGCGTCTGTTATTGTGGTGCCTACCTTTATTTCCAAGTCGTGTTGGCGAAGTCGTTGTGTTCGGGCAGGGGTTGGTATTGCGAACGCGGCCAGGGCCTTTGGTTCGGAATCGGTTCGGCGTTTGTGTCGATGGTCGTGGTGATATCGAAAATTTTCCAAATCTTGCAATACAGCTGGTATGTATGGAGAACCAGCAATCGTTACCAGACGGCACTCAATACAGTTCCTGACCAGTACGAATTCATGCATAATGCGATCACAGATTCCCGGAAGCAGTTCAACCTTCTATTTTTGATGATGGTGATAGTGTCGGTATTCTTTGCGTGTATCTCCACGTGCATATTCGTCAAGTATATAATGTGAATCCATTCCCGCGATGGGCACATTGGAACGTGAAACATTCGCTTGACATCTTCAGCGGCTGCGTCTAGGTTCACCCGTACATTGCCATGGCGCATGTAAGCGTGTACCAGCGCAGTTTTCCACAGCCTGACGCTTTAGGCCCGCAAGCCGGCAGAAGACTGCCGCAGACCTAGAGGTTTGGGGCGAGTTCGAGGTCCGAGCACAGCTTACGACAACAAAACAAACAAAAACAGCGCTTCGTGGACCCATATGGAGCCCCACAGAAGGTTCGAGTGGGACCGCCCGCATGCGCCCGCCACACCCAGCACAGCGCTTCGTGGCCCCATAGAGAGCTCCACCGAAGGTCCCAGTGGGACCGCCCGCATGCGCCCGCCACACCCACTACAGCTTTTTGGGGCCACATAGGGAGCTCCAGGCCCCAGAGGCGCCCTGCCCGCATGCGTCCCCCCCCCACTCAGCACAGCGCTTCGCAGCCTCATAGGGAGCACCCCCAAAGGCCCCGGTTGCACCGCCCGCTGTTTTCCCCACCCTGTACAGCGCTTCGTGGCCCCATAGGGAGCTCCACCGAAGGCCCCAGTGGGACCGCCCGCGTGCGCCCCCCCCAGTACAACACGTCGTGGCCATATAGGGAGCTACAGCGAAGGCCCCAGTGGCACCGCCCGCATGCGTCTCCACCACCCAGTACAGCGTTTCGTGGCCCCATAGGGAGCCCCGCTGAAGGCCCCAGTGGGACCGCCCGCATACACGCCCTCTACTCATTTCGGCACGCCCCATCACGCGTTGCGTGGCCCATCGGAAACGGCACCCACAACGCCGCGTCATTCACAACTGCATTTGGTGGGGTCCTTCGCCTGGATAATGTCACAACGTCGACCCCGAGAGGTCTGGACCCATTCCAGAGGAACGGCTTCTCGCCCCGAGTCGTTTGTTGACGGTCCCGAGGCCTCGCCAGGCCCCCAGAGGCCAAACATGTCGCAACATTTTCCGTCGTGATGTTTTCGCAGCGCGAGAGGGTCTGGGAAGGAGGGGGGGAGGACCAGGGAAGCGGCCAGGACCAGGCGGTCTCACAGAGTCCACGGCCCCCTATTTGTCATTCGATGCGCTCCCTGGCTCCCCCTCATCCGTGCACGTGCCTCGGTCCATGGTGCGCGAGCCTCCCCCTCTTCCTGCCCCTCCCCCCGTCGACGCACTCGACTCGAGGAGAGTCGAGGATCGAGGCTGTTTCGCCATGTTGCGCCTCTTGGACCTTGGGAGCCTCCAGGGGCGCCTGGAGACCTGCAGGGACCTCACGGGACCTTCGTGGACCGCCTGCGAGAGATCTCGTCTCGTAGATTCCTCCTCCTCCTCCTCCTCCTCCTTCTCTGCACACAGCTTCCACGTTCCGGACTGCACACACAACACGATGGGGCCCTTCGGGGGACCCCGGGTCTGCCGCGGCACCCGTGGGCGGACGGAGCGAGACGTGCGCGCCGTGCAGGGACTGGTGGGAGGCGCAGGGCGTCAGAGAAAGCGCGAGCGCACTTCGCTGGCCGCTCCCTCCCTCCGACGCCCGCTCATTGAGAGAGAGAGAGAACAAAACAAGAGAGAGAGAGAGAGAGAGAGAGCGCGAGAGAGAGAGAGAAACGACCAAAAAACAGGAGGAGGTGGAGGAGGAGGAGGAGGAGGAGGAGGAGGAGGAGGAGGAGAGGAGGAGAGGGGGGAAGGAGGAGGAGGGGGAAGGAGGCGGAGGAGGAGGAGGAGGAGGAGGAGGAGGAGGAGGAGGAGGAGAGTGGGAAGGAGGAGGAGGGGGAGGAGGAGGAGGAGGAGAAGGAGGAGGAGGAGGAGGAGGAGGAAGAGGAGGAGGAGAGAGCCATGCGCGCTGCTGGCGGCCCGCACCCCACGGGCACGGCCTCGAGACGTTCCCTGGCTGCAGCGGCCACCCCGCAGAGGGGGGTCTTGGAGCACGGTGCCTTTGCAGGGGAGGGGCTGTCCCGGGGCACGCAGGGCCCTGGGGCTCTCGCACGCAGACCCAGATCCCCGCGCGTCGTGGCAAAAATCACGACGGGAGGTTTTTTGCTATCTGAGGCCTTCGTGGGCCCTCGCTGGGCCTCGGGACCGTCAACCAACGATTCAGGACGAAGAACTGGTCCTGGGGAGTACAGTCGGCCCGGATTTGTAGGTCGACCATGCCAAATCAAGGGTACTCTTGTGTTCTGTGTCTCACGACCCATGCCTCTTGCATTCCTGTGGCAATGTGGCCCTCGGAAGGGTTTTGTCCTCTCGCGCGTCCTGCCCAACCAAGTCCGACTGTAGATCGAGGCCTCCAGTGTCGACGTTCTGGGGACGGAGTCTCTTTCGCCGGGAGAGGGCGAGCTGAGACCGCGGCAGTTGGCCTCGTCGCCACGGCTGGACGCAGCTAGGAACGTGGGTGAGGTTGGATCTGGCAAAGCTTGACTCTAGAATTTGCTTGCTGGGCAGCGAAGGCGCACTTCGACCTCTGAGGGTTTCACACAGTTTCACACCGAGTCCTGCCCCTCGCGGGCCACCCTGGCAGGACTTTGAGCCTTGAGCCTAGGGAAGTGGGTGCGGTTGGACCCAGGGAAGGCGGGCCTCGCGCAGAGGGGGGGAAGGGGGGGGAAGACTTCTTAGAGGCACCCCTGCTTCTAAGAAGGCGCGGGCCTTGTCTGTAGATGTAGGGCCGACACCTTCGAAGAAGCAGCCTCCCTGTAGGAAGCCTTCCCCCCTGCCCCCCTGTGCGCGCCGCCAAGAAGGATCTGGGTACCGATTTGAGCTGCCGTTGTCTCAACTCGCCCTTCGCCGACTTCGGTCGGGAGGAGAGGGTCGGGGCCAGCCGTCCGACGGCACGCTATCTGCTACTTCTCAGCGCGTGGCCCGCGCATCTCTCGAGCGCCTCCCGCGGGCCAGCTCCTCGTCCTGCAATCATTATGCTGGTGGCCTCGTGGCCCAAGGCGGGCTTGGGCGCCGAGTTACCGCCAATGTCACACCTCCTCCCCCTCCTCTTCCTCCTCCTCCTCCTTTTCCTCCTCCTCTTCCTCCTCCTCCTTTTCCTCCTCCTCCTCCTCCCTCCCTCCTCCCTCCCTCCCTGCCTCCCTCCCTCCATCGATCCTCGAGGATTCTCCTCGATCCTCGAGGATTCTCATCTCCTCGTGGTACCGCTTCGCAGCCTCCAGGCCGAGACGGCCGTCCTCTCGACGATCGAGCATCCGTTCATCGTCAACCTCATCGCCACCTTCCAGGAGCCGGGGGGCGCCGGCCTTCGGAGAGATCGGGGAGGGGGGGGGGCGGGCTGTGCACCGACAGGGGAGGGACAGGCTCGGCTGAACATCAAAGACTAGCACCAATCATCAAAAACCACCATCGTCATCATCATAATCACCATCATCCTCCGCCGGGAAAATCGTTTAACCGGAGACTGGCGATAATAAAATACCCTCCTTAACCCCCCGATCACCAGAAATAATTTCGAGCACCAAGAAGGTACCGAAACGGGAGGGTATTCACGTGTCGGGCCCTGGGAGGTGATACTCTTTCGGCACCGCTTCGACGCTCATCTATGTGCTCGTAATTAGTTTGGGGATGCGGTCCTCAAGTACGACGGGAACAACAGAAGGCTCGGCAGGGAAGCATCGATCCCCGATCGCCCACTCATCTCCAAAACAGGGGCCCGAGAGAGCCCACCCCGCCGCCCACAGGAACGTGCGGGGGTTCGCCTTTGGGGACCTAGCGCGCCGCTCCATGTCGGCGATGTGCATCGCCGACTCAAGCTCGAGGTGTTCCCCCGTGAAGCCGGTCACCCTGTGCCTTTCCCGTTCAAGATTGGAGGAATAGGAGGAGAAGGAGGAGGAGGAGGAGGAGGAGAAGGAAGATGAAGAGGAGGAGGAGGAGCAGCAGGAGGAAGAGGGAGGATGGCGTTGATTTCACGCTTCCGGGCGAGAGTTGTCGTTGCCAGGGAGGGCGGGAGGGGACCCGTAACGTCACGTTTCGCGCAGGCGCCGTCTGGGAATGTCCGCGAACAACCAAAGACATTTCGGATAAGCAGATACCTGAAGGGATCTGCTACTGCAGAGCCCCTTCATTATTCTCCTCCTCCTCCTTTTCTTCCTCCTCCTCCTATTCCTCGCTCCTCGCTCTTCGCTCCTCCCTCATCCCTCCTCTTTATCCTTTTCCTCGTCGTCGTCGTCGTCGTGCTCCTGCTCCGTTGGGAAAATTGAACCCAACAAAACGGGACTGGACATTGGAATCCAACAGAATGGGAAGTTCTATACTATACACACCAGATGGCCAGCCTGGGTGAGAGCTGAATGCACATGTGGCCGCATGTCTTTCCAGGGTTCGGCCCTGGTGTAATTAAGCATCCAGGCGCCAGCCATCCTCACGTGTATCCAGCAACTGGCCTCCGCATGTGATTCCAACCGCGTGTGATTCCAGCAACCTGGATTGCTGTAGTCAAACCGTTGTTTTAAGGTGCAGCGTGCTGCTGGCAGGGTTAAGATGGAAACGGCCCACGTGCATCTCATGGGCTTACGTAACTCCGCACGCCCCAGTGGCACCCCAGCGGTGTGGTGCGCGCGTAGCCTTGCAACGAAGCAGTTCGCAACGCAGAGAAGCGAGATTGGACGACAAGGGGGGGGGGCACGAGGAAGAGGAAGGGGAGGACGACGACGAGGCCACTCCTCCCCTCGGGCCGGGGGCGGTCAGACCCCTCCCAGAGCACGAGTCGATACCAGAAGTGCGATCAAACAGGCCGTTTCGGCCCAGCACCGCCCGCCTCGCGCCCCTCCCTCCTTTCGATTTATGTCTTTCCCTCTTCTGTCCTCGCGCGAGGCATCTTACCATGCTATGGGGAGGACGAGGGCGACGATAGTAGGACGAGGATGGAGAGGAGGAGGAAGCGGAGGAGGGAGAGGAGAGGACAGAGCAACACTAGGATCTATCCCAACAGTCCCCTACGCTGCGCTTAGCTACCCGTGACTATTCTTCTGTGGTCCTTGCATATCCTAGCATGGTGCACGTTCTGCCATGGCTGGTCTCACAAGGTATATGTTGTTTGAGCTTCCTTTGTTATTCCTGCGAATTCGCAGACGGTGCTGGCACGAATCCTGACGTCACAAAGGGGGGGTCGGGGCCAGCCACGGCCGTTAACACAAAATGTTATTCGAAAATTATCCTGGTGAAGGACTCAACCATATGCAGTTGTGAGTTCCGTAGTGGTGCGTATCTTCT